GGGCGAGTGTCGGAACTTCGTCAAGGTCCTGCTGCTTCGCGACGAGTCCACGCTGTTCGTGTGCGGTTCCAACGCCTTCAGCCCCGTGTGCGCCAATTACAGCGTGAGTCCGCCCGCCGCAGGCCGCCTGCCCCGGCTCCGACCTGCTGTGGTCCTGACCCCCACCGCCTCTCACAGGCAGCCTTCCTGGGTGTGTCCCTCGCCTGGCTCCAGAGGGCCAGTGGTTTCCAAAGAGGGCCTGAACAGGGGACAGGGAAGCCTCTGCCTGTCCCATCACAAACCACCCGAGCTAGAACTAGTTCAGCCACAGGACAGTCAGAGGAGAGAGGTCAGGTCACTGGCCAGGGTCACACAGCCATCCAGGGTGGGGCCAGGATGCCTCTCGGGTTCGGGGGCTGCCAGATGTGTCACTCAGGCCGTCCTCCCTGCAGATGGACACACTGCAGCCCGTCGGGGACAACATCAGCGGCATGGCCCGCTGCCCCTATGACCCCAAGCACGCCAACGTCGCCCTCTTCTCTGGTGAGTGTCTGCCTCTGCCCTCCCGATGAGCCGGAGGCTTGGGCTGGCCCGGCACTTCCCGGCCTTTCGAAGCTGAGGTCACTCGGCAGGCAGCTAGGTGGCCGTGTGCCCACCCGGACATGGGCAGGTCCCAGTTCTGGCCGGAGGCTCCACGAGGGCTCAGGTGGGCCCAGCCTAGGGTGGGTGCCAGAGCCTGGGATCCTGGCTTCTCTGGTTTGGGAACAAGATGGTGTCAGGGCTCCACCTGCAGGCCGGGCCCCCGGGTTCTGACCCATCCAGCTCGGACCCTAATGTCTAATCTCTCGCCTGTCTGCCTGCCTCCCCGGCCCCCGCCCTGGTCCAGACGGGATGCTCTTCACGGCCACCGTGACTGACTTCCTGGCCATTGATGCTGTCATCTACCGCAGCCTCGGGGACCGGCCCACCCTGCGCACCGTGAAACATGACTCCAAGTGGTTCAAAGGTGGGGGACCTGGAGGAAGGGAGCGTAAAAATGACCAAGACGAGATGTGCGTATGTACCAGTGCCCAATCTAAATAAGCTAGACAACAACGAAAAACAAAAGGTGAGGCGTAGAAGGGGCGTGAGCCTAGATTTAGTAGAGCTGACATGCATCGAATCCCCCTACCAGAATAAGAGACCCAGGAAGCTGGGGATGGGATTCCCACTTCATCTCTGGGGCCTGTTGGCCGGTTTGTTTTGTGTTTTGTTTTTGCGGTTCTGGGGATAGAAGCCACACTCTCATACATACTAGGCAAGTGCTGAGCACGGAGCCGCACCCCCAGCCTCTGTTGGTCTCTTGGAAGATAAAGCGACAGGAAAGATTTGGATCCAAAGTAGAACCTGTGGGAAGTGGGTGGCGTAGGAGCCCAAAATGGACGAGTGAGGCAGGAGCTCAGATCTCTAACACGAGGGAGGAAGGGGACAAAAAATAGCAGATGTGCCATTCCGAGTAGAGTTGAACCCAGTGGCTTTAGGCCGTGGGGCTCTCTGCCCCCTCAAAAATACAAAAAAAAAAAAAAAAAAAAAAAAAA